ACAAAAGTTAAAAAGGAACTTAGATAAAGTATCCAAAAACAACCCCAAATAATATTAACAATAACATTTTATAAATTAGATTAAAATTAACAATTAAATCAATCATTTATTTTATTCTGTTGGGGCCAGGCCGGCTTGCTGGAAAAGCCAACTTTTTAGAGCATGTCGGAAGGACTGGAGGTCGGGGATTATGCGAAGCTCCGGGGGCAGCTCATTCCAGAGGGAAGGCGCTCCCACAGAGAAGGCTCTCCTCCTGAGGGTTGCTAGCCAACACTGTCTGGCCGATGGCACCCTGAGAAGGCCAACTCTGTGGGAACGCACTGGACGGTGGGAGGCTACCGATGGTAGTAAGTGGTCTCGCAGGTATCCTGGGCCTAAGCCATGGAGCGCTTTAAAAGTCATAATTAGTACCTTGAATCACACCAGCTGCCAGCCGATCCTGTAGGTATAATGGCAGGCATAACTAATCACTGAAGCACCAATTTAAGGAAATAGGAATGAGTCTCCTGGGTGTTTTCTATTGTTCCAGAGGGATTTTTGTGGAGGTAAAATCATTTCTGCACTATAAGCTGGTGCCTGAATTTATAACATGCCAGCTTCATTTGTATTTTTTTTTAAAAAATTAAATGATTAAAAAATATTTGGAGTGTGGGAGATCACATTAGTGCCCATTCACATCATGTTGCCAACTTTGTGTTTTAATAAGAGAGGCCAGGATCCTTCCTGTTACTATCTATTGTACATATATTGATTTTATAACTCTTAGAATTACAACCTCTGACACTGGCTTGTAGTTCTAGAAGTAATATTTCCATTTGAGTGAGATGATTATCAGATTGGGAAAGCTATACTAGGGTAGAACATCTCTCAATAAAAATATGATTTTCACAAAAATAATAATTGCCAAGGAAAAACAAGTGCTGTATTAGAAACTTGAATTGAATACACACACACACACACACACACACACACACACACACACAGAGTATATATATGCATCTTCTTTGCTTACAAAGTAATAAGCTGCTAGTGCCAGGTGAATGTATGCCTGTGTGCCTCCAGGTTAGTGTTCTCTTCTGGCAACTGGACAACTCACTGCAGTTTTCTTGGCATGATCTTGGAAGTGGTTTTCCATTGCTTTCTTCCTAGTGCTGAGAAAGAGGGACTGGTCCAAAGTCACCCAGTTGGCTTCATGCTTAAAATGGGACTAGAACTCAAGATTTCCCACTTTCTAGCCTGCCACAGCTGTACCTCAGGAACAGTATTGTAGAAAAGTAAGCAATGCCACCATTAATAGAAATAATTTCTATATAAATAGGATTTGAACCTGTTGGATTTGCAACGATTATTCATGCCTTTGTGACACCACAACTGGAATATTGTAATTTGCTCTTGATAAAGATACTCTTGAAATATGTCTGGAAAATGACTGCTGAAAATTATGGTAGTTAGGCTACTAACACTGATTGGAAGTTATTTTCCAGGTATAATTTCAGGATTTGTGTTAACCTTGAATGCCCAGTACACCTTGCAATGTGTGATTAACTGAAGGACTGTATCTCTTAGCACAGATGCTAAAATCTTCAGGAGATGCATTTTAACACCCAAAAGGACAAACTAATGGGAATGGGCAAGGTTTCATTAGTTCAAAGAAAAGAGACATTGCAACAAAAGACAGAGGAGAATGCTGTCTAACTATATATAGTATCACCATTTATCAAGTCCATCAGCAATTTCCCTTCCTAAAATATAAGTGGATAAATGATACATGAAAACAATCTCAAGATCCCTCAGATCAGGCGAAATTCTCATCCATCCTTCCACTCTATGAAAGAGCAGAGGAAATAGAAATAAGACTACTGCAATTGAAAGATTAGCTCTGCAAATGGTATCAATGGAAGATATTTTCTTTCTGGGATATGGCATGAGCTATCCAGATGATGTGTTGCTGGCACGTAATGGGTTGTATTTTGTAAGGACAAATAAATATGTCTTTACCAGAACAATTTCTAAGCTTGATCAGGGTTGGAACAAAGCCCTGAAATAAGGACCTTGGATGAATATTTGTATATTGTAGAATGTGGGAGTGTTTGTGAAACTGAGCTTTTAAAACCGCTTTGTGGAAGAAGCCAGAAAGAACATTGACCTATAAAGTTCATTGGCCCGTGCAGTGAATTATGAGTTTGAGCTCATTTTGTTTATTTCCCATACTCTGAACTAAAATTCAGAGTATGGGAATTAAACAAGATAAGCTTGAGTTCTCCATACAGAAATTCACGTGTGATTTATTAGATGTAACAGAAATCAAGTGACATGATTCCCATTGTTAGAATATAGCAGTGATGGCAAACCGTTTTGACACCAAGTGCCTAAACTGGAAGGTGTGTGTGTGTGTGCATGTGTTAGTAGGCCAGCTGGTCTTTTGGTCATTTTCCGATGATTTTTGGGCAATTTTTGGGATGTTTTTAAGGATGTTTCTGGGCCAGGAAACAGCCCGGAGAATGGCCCGAAAAATGGCCTGTTTTTTGGCTGTTTTGGGGGGTGTTTTTTGGCTGTTTTCTGGTGCTCCAGCTCCCGGGAAGACCAGCCAAGCAACTGGAAGAGCAACTGATGACGGCGTGCATACCTCACAGAGTGGGCTCTGCATGCCCACTCTAGCACACATGCCATAGGTTCACCTTCACGGGAATATGAAGGCTGTCCCGTCAGGCCTGGGGTTAAAGACCGTAACCCACCCGAATTCTATGAATGTTGTGCTTTTAATGATGTACTGTCTTATGTGTTAATCTGTTTGTTTTCCCTTCCTTCCGAATTGTAAGCCGCCCTGAGTCCCCCCAGGGAAAAGGGCGGCATATAAATAAACTACTCATACTCATACTCATACTCAATATAGCAGCCAAAGGATGCAATATTGTATATTGAAAAGTAAATTAGAAAACATTAAGCTGTATGTTAAACAGCATCTATTTTTGCTTAGAAATCCAAATGAATGAACTTAGTAACATTGTAGAGATCAGATGGGTAAATGTAAGTGGAGGAACAAATAAAAGCACTGTCTTTGGTATCAACATATTCAAGAAAAAGATGAAAATTTATTAATTTATTGACCACTTGCAAAAAAGGTAAAGTATGCATATTGATCCACATTGCATGATTATATAACAAAAATACTATTTTGAAAGGATAATTCTAATATTTAAATATGTTTTATTAACTGGCAAATATGATATTTTAATTTACTTTTTATTATATAGTTATGAACGTTATAAAGAATTATATTTAGAACGAAAGAAGGATATTTATCAGATAAGGAAGAAGGGAGTCTCAGCTTTTTCCTCCTTGAACAAACAACAGTTCAGGTTAATCACTGAGGCATAGGAAGTGCCTCTGTTTCCTATTCAATAATTATGTTAATGCCCATTCTTTGCTTTGCTTATCTCTCTCCCCCTCCCCCCCACACAGAGTTTATGAAATATACTGCACAGGTTAATGATGGGAGGGGACTTTGTCTGAACAAGTTGGTTATCATTGTTGCTGCTCTGATGACAAGTGTACAAATATGCGAGAAAGATAAGAAAGAAGTCTCAGTGGGGACAGGTGATATGATTCATGCCAGTGGAGGATGAAAATATAAGAGATGGTTATCAGCAGGGGTAAGCAATCTTTTGGGTTCAGTGGACACATGTAGAATGTTAGAGCCTTTACACATTTTCACCAAATGTTTAGGTGGGATGGCCAGCCACAAAATATCAACTTGCTACATGCAATTATTTCTTTATACTATATCTTAGTTATCTGAATATATTTACTCTCCCTGTGGGATCCAAAAGCATTGGATGATAGAGATTGGGGGCTTTCTTTTTACATCAGGCAGCTTCCCTTTTTGAGGAAAATAAAAGTCATTCAGGATTCCAGTAGGTAAGGTGTGGTCTAGCCCTAATTTCATATGAGCGTAGATCTAGTGGTTACAGAGTTTTAGTATTTATCATGCTCCCATTCAGAGTAAAAGTCCTTCAACATCTATATTACCATCACAATTCTTTTTCTTTTCTTCTCCCTCTCCCTTAGGCCTCCATAACACCCCCTAATGCTCTCTTCAGTTATCTTCCTTCCAGCTGCAGCTTCTTCACAACTTCTTATCCCACTGGGAAATTGCCTAAGTCTTAGTCTCTTTTCTGTTTCCCTTCTATCTCAGCTTTTTTCCAGATAGTTCATGGATGTATGGATGAATAAAGATGGCTGATGGCTAGAGAGAATGCTTCCTGCTGAAGCATTCTCAGAAAAAAGAACAATAGTGGTGTATGTAATAAGACATAAGCCTCACCAGAATAGTTTGCATACTTAAGTATGTGAGGGGAGAGGTCAACAAATATATCAGTAACAATAGTTTTATATTACATCATAAGGAGACAATAAATCCAATGTTTTTGCAGGACGATATGGTATATTATGAAAACAGAAAGATACATATAGTAAGGAGGCATGCTAAAAAGATGGAACTAAAAGTTAGAAGGCAGACTGATTTTTAAAAAGTAACCTCAATTAAGTAAAGGCTAACTAAAGCTTTGTTCTTTCAGAAAAACAACAACCATAGAATGAAGGCTTAATGGAACAAACCTCACCTATCAAGATATTCTAAAAACATAGAGCCAAGTAAAAGAGTACATCTTCAAGAATGAAATCTGGCAAGAAATCTGAGATTTAAATAATTTAGAGGTAGCTCTCAATTTGCAACCATTTGTTTATCTACTATTCCAAGTTACAACACAGATGAAAAAAGTGATTTATGATTGGCCCTCCCAAATTATCACCGTTGTGGAATCCCCAAAGTCACATGATCAAAATCAGGGTGCTTGGCAACTGGCGTTTATGACGGTTACAGCATTCCAGGGACACATCATTGTCATTTGTGACGCTTCCAGCAATGTTCTAACAAACTAAGCGAGATTTGCTAAGTGACCATGAGTTTCACTTAACAGAAGTGATTCATTTAATAACTATGGCAAAAAGGTAATAAAATTGGGCACAAGTTACTTAATAACTGCCTTGTTTAATAACAGACGCTATGATCCTAAATCAATATTTTTCTTCTTCATTTCTGAAATCTGCTTCTTTTACACAGTCCAACTTGCTGCTGGGAAAGGTATGATCCTCCTTCCTAACCCCACCACCCAGGCCTGTTTTCCTCATAGTGATTGTGAAGGCAAAATGCCAACCAATTCCTTGGGTTCTTTTCCAATCAGCATTGTCTATGCTGCACCAGCAAATACAGAGCTTGAAGCAGTTATAGATGATTTATGTGATCCCATTAGACAACCTTATTTTCAAACTGAACACACTTTTCTTGGTCTCTGTTACAGGAAATCATGTCCGGGCTTGTAGAAATGTTATTTGTCAGTATCTTTTCACCTCCTTAGATCAAGCCAGCAATAATACATCTATAACTTAGTGTTTATTTACAAACTAAAATGTGGAGGAGCTGAAGGGGCCATAGTTGTCACATGCAACAAATGCTTGCATGACAACAACATGAATGTCATGTTGACATGAAGGTTGATAAATCAATTGTTTACGGCTTAAGCAATCTACAATAACTTTAACATACCCTATTAAATCCTGCATGGAGAAGTGGGAGAACAGAAGCTTCTTCCTGACCAGCAGATCTACAGAAATACAAAATATATTATCGGTCAATAAGAATCAATGTATGTGGTTGCTAAGAGATGACACCAATTCGATGGCACTGAATCAATCAATCATTCAAGAGAGTGAAAAATCCTTTTGTGGTTGTATTTTGTGTTTTTTTTGGGTGGGGGGGAGGTTAAGATTTCTATGGACTATAGAAGGAATGGCAGAACTGTAGTAACTTCACCAGAGAGAGCAAGGCTAAAAGGCTTAGTTTTTTCTTTCCTTGATTGTTTTAAAAATCAAAATAGGTGTGTCAGACTTTTAGTTTTTTTTTTTTAAATAAAAGTCACATGAAAAAACATACATTTGCTGTCAAATGTTGCAAAGATCATTCTGAAAACCTCTTAAGGCCACAGGGGGAAAAAACGGAGACAAGGAGAGGCACCCTCTCTTACTGCCAAAGAAATATTCAAGTTGCATTTACAAATGACAACACGTGATGGATATGTTTATTGTTGTTCTTTCAGCTTCCCAACTATTATGAATTGTCTAGAATTTGGCCTTTTGTATGTGTTGCTGAGATGGGCACAGAAAAATCCAACAAAGCTGTACTTTGTATGGTGTTTGATGGTAAAAGATTTGAACTCGTCTCTTGGAACCACTGTCAGAAACTTTGCTGCAGAGAGGGCTTGAGCGTTGTTTGCTTTGATCTCAAGTCTCCTTCCAGGAGCAATCATACAACATCCTAATAGTTTAGATCAGTGTTTCTCAACCTTGGTAACTTGAAGATGTCCGGACTTCAACTCCCAGAATTCCCCAGCCAGCGAATGCTGGCTGGGGAATTCTGGGAGTTAAAGTCCGGACATCTTCAAGTTGCCAAGGTTGAGAAACACTGGTTTAGATAGATATAGAATAACAGAATTGGAAGAGATCTTGAAGGTCTTCTAGTGCAACCCCCTGCTTAGGCAGGAAACCCTACACCACTTCAGACAAATGGATATCCAACATCTTCTTAAAAACTTCCAGTGTTGGAGCATTCACAACTTCTGGAGGCAAGGTGTTCCATTGATTAATTGTACTAATTGTCAGGAAATTTCTCCTCAGTTCTAAGTTACATCTCTTCTTGATTAATTTCCACCCGTTGCTTCCTGTCCTACCGTCAGGTGCTTTGGAAAATAGTTTCTGAATGTGATTTCAACCATGCAATGATTTATGTGTCAAAAAAAATCTTCTGATGGTGCTGATCATTTTCTAGGCCACGAAAAAATTGAATTTCAGCAACATGTTGAGAATGGCAGTCCAGAACAAAGCTAGTTTTTGTTATATTTAAATTTAATTAAAATAAAATGTAATTACATTTGAGAGCTACATAGTTTTCCTTCTGTCTCATTAACCATTACAATAGTTGGTGGTCTTCAGCGGACACCACAGATTTTAAAGAGTTGTATGCAGCTGTGGGGCCTCAGCTTATCCTCTTGACATACACTAAGATGTTCATGAGAATCTTCTACTTATTTACTGAATAACCATACCCATTAAAATATATATAAAATAAGCATGAGTTCCTGAAATACTCACGTTTGTAAGGTAACAGCTATTATCACAGTATGTTCAGCAGGTTTTGTAGCACGAATTGACCTGGAATGAAGAACGTTCAGGCCATATTTGATTAAACAATTTTATTAACAAAAATTTACTATTCACATATTAAGATGGCTTGCATCTCTTTCTCTGTGTGTGTGTGTGTGTGCAAATCAGGTGTTATTTTACCTGTCTCATTGTTCTATTTTATGAAAGGGCAAAGCTAGGTAGGTAAAAAAAAAAACCAAGATGAAACAATAGGTTTTCTGTAAATTGAAACAAATTCTTGGGAAGCAAGATTGGATCACATAGAACCAATATACTGAAAGCATATCTGCAATTATGAAGGCTGGTAAGAAGAGCGTTCTTATCAAACGTAGATTTTGAATTCTAAACAAATGATATTGGCTAAAACTCTTCCTTTAGAAGGATATTGTCTCAAAAGTCATCTGAAACATTATATGGACCATATGCATGTGGTCAGCAGTCAGAGAAATTATATGGGTTGTTCAAAGCCTAACATAGCAGTTTTGGCTTCTACAAAGCTGGCAAGAATAAGGTTCTATCACAGCCCATACTGACTGATTATTCATTTATTCCGCTGAGCTTATAATAACAAAACAGTGACTTTTTTGTCACAAGATCCTGAATATGGGACCATGTGTCCTTTCCTGAGAAAAGCAATGTCAGCCTCATGTTCATCATTCTACTGCTGTACCCTGATTTTTTACACATGTACTTAATGCCAAAGATACAAGTTTTAGGTACACAGTGGTAAAGCAAAATATCTATTGTCTCTTTTGCAGTATATGAAGTGGAAGAACAAATTACATGTTTGTGTATAATCAGGACCTAGCCTATAAATTAGAATCTGGAAAAGTCTTCATTTATGTTTCTGTATGCCAGTCCAGCTGACTGTTGCCATTTCTTCCACCAAAAATTAGACTCAAAGAGCATTATTCCTAGGCAGATTTGACATATTACATTCAGCTGTTAGACATGGCAAGATCCACTGTTTTGAATCTTTTTGCTACTATGGTTTCTCATGCAACAGGCCCTGTCTTATTATTTTGCAGTTTTTACAGAGATTTATGAGCCATATTAAACATACCCCTTCTAAAAGACTTTTCTGGCATAGATGATGAAATATAGATCTCATTCCTCCTATCCCACTGTCAGATCAATATTACATATTTCAAAGACAAATTTTGTTTAGCAGTCATGAAAATACACTCTTGGATTTGCCATAGCATAGTAGAATAACTACGAATTTTTTGAAACTACTCAGATTACTAATGATGCTACTACTGGTCCAGATATAAAAACTTGCACAGATCAAATGAATACCTTTGTCTTTTATCAACAGTTTAGTGCAATTTTTCTCTGTATTTCATAAATGCCTTCATGGATGGACTTTGGAGGATCTGATCATTGACTGCATTGCTATGTAAGTAACTATCTGCAATATAGATGCATCTGACCCAACCACCATCACTTAAATGGCCAGAGCAACTCAGTTTAGTCATCATGATCTTCACTTTCTCAGCAAGGCTCCTGATCTTATTTTTGGTTTATGGAAAGCCATCTCCCAGGCATGTCTTTAATTTGACTTTATGCCTGTCATTGGAAGACAGAACAAGGAAGAAATACCATGGTTCCACAGGATTCTGACATGTGAAACATCTTCCTGGGACCTCATAGACAGGGAAGTTGCCATGACTCCATGATCAAAGCCCTGCTGTTTTTTCATATATGTTGCACATGTGACACATGTAAAAAGGGCACAACTATCACCTTGATTTTTTTAAACCTCTTTCTCATAAATGCCCCATGGATAAATCCTTCTCCTTAAAATCTAACTTTTTTTATATTCAGAGATTTCACACACTGATTTCATATAGAAGAACATCTCATTGCATGACAGCCCACTCAATTGTCCAGAAACAGTTTCGCCACTGAAGTTAGGAAGTGAATATAGAAATTGCATAATAGTATTTTCCTATACTGCCAGGGTCATATGAAATACAAAAACAAGTAATTACCTACAGATGGCTTCTGCATCAAAATGTCTGGAGTTTCGATAATCTATAACAATTATTTCATGATATTTATCAAGAAAGCTTTCAAGTGCTGATTCTGGTGTCCGAGCAATGTTACACCTATACCCAGCTTTATTACAAGCCCACCAGAATCCATCACTCTGTTTGTCTTCTTTGGCAAAGATTAACAATACCTATAAAATACAGAAGAGATTTAAAAATTACTATGCATTTAAAACAATAATGTTGGTCTATGACGATAAAATAAAATAATTAAATTAACTTCATTCATTGTATAATTGACTCAGTAATGTTTAGCATTTTTTTTTAAGTATCCTCAGAGCCCCCCATGGATGAATTCACTTTTCAAAAGCAAGAAGTAAACAACAATGTTTTAAATGTGTGTACATATTTGAATGTTATTTTTACTTTTAAAGACATAAGCTTTATATTGTTAAAGGGACATGCATGGGCTTGTGAATGTGTGTATAAAGTTTCTGTTTTCAACTATGTTTCACTTCTAATGATGTCATCATTGGTCCAGAAGATAATGATACCACTACCTCCACTTTTCAGTTCAGTGAATAAGATACATCTTGTCTGTCTGCCCATCTGTCCATCCGTCCATCCATCCATCCGTCCATCCAATTATCTAATGACCCAAACTGTTGGGGGCAATATGCTGACTCTGTAAATCTTAGAGAGGGCTATAAAACACTGTAAAGCAGCATATAAGTCGAAGTGCTATTATTATTGCTGTCTCCGTCTCCGTCTCCACCCACCATATCTATCTATCTATCTATCTATCTATCTATCTATCTATCTATCTATCTATCTATCTATCTATCTATCTATCTGTCTATCTATCATCTATC